TTTAACAGCACTTTTGTTTTTCAGGTATTCCTTTAATAGGACGTCGATTGTAAAAGTAAATGGTCATTCTGAAGTCACAGTGTATACAAGAGAAGTAAAGATCAACACATGAATGCTTGTTCACCAAAAAACAAAAACAAAAAAAAGTTCATCATAGTTGGATGAAAAGAAAGGTCATTGGAAAGTCTGCATAGTCAAAAAATAAAAAAAGAATCAGCAAATAACGGGTTGTGTTGAAAAAAGTGGTGAACATGGAGTAAAAAGAGTCAAAAAAGGCAATTTTCCGAGTTGCAAATGTACCTGCAATAGTTTTCTTGATTTCAACTTTTAGGCCCGTTGCTCCGCTCCAAGCATACCCTACTCATATCAAAAACATACCACAAAAATAAAATTTTAAAGATAAAAAAAATAATAATAATTCATGTCAGAATTGGTCATGTAGTACAAGTATGCGACGTGCAATCAAATGTAGTAGCGGAAAAATAGTGGAATTCCAACTAATGAAAAAGACTTCTGTAGGTCCACTCATCATTTTGATTGTAACATACCACAAAAATAAAATTTTAAAGATAAAAAAAAAATAATAATTCATGTCAGAATTGGTCATGTAATACAAGTATGCGACGTGCAATCAAATGTAGTAGCGGAAAAATAGTGGAATTCCAACTAATGAAAAAGACTTCTGTAGGTCCACTCATCATTTTGATTGTAGAATTACTCAACACGAAAAAAAAAAAAAAAAAAAAAAAAAAAAAAAAAAAAAAAAAAAAAAAAAAAAAAAAAAAAAAACTAATAAAAATACATAAAAAAAGGTCCCCATACAGAATTAATTAATTACCTCGGCCAAAGCAATTGATGGTGGTGTTAATCCCATTGGGGCAAACGCAAGTAAAGGACTGATCCAAACCAGCAAAACCACAAACACCTTCACTCTCTTCACACTCACTACACGTACTGGTGTAATAAGAATCATTATACTGCAAAGAGATTCCAAACCCCCATTTGGTCGGATCACCTTCATCACCAAACTCATAAATGGAGGTATAAGAAGAGCACTGAAACTTGGGAAGATCAAGAGTATAGCCAGAACCAACAGTGGCCAAAGAGTCATAAACACAACATGTGTTAATGGGACCATTCTGAGGCAACCCAATTCCTGAAACGCCTTTACAAGAGTACAAACCCCTACAAACCCGAGAACCCGAGCCCGTATCGCAGAGATCTTCATCCGGGTCGAAAAGAGGAGAGGTTGTGGAGCACCCCAGGAGAGCAAAGATATTCTCATCTGAGATGGTGAAAGGGCTGGCCTTGTCAAGGCTGAAACTGCCAGAGTTTTGCATGGAAGAGCAGGTTGACATGAGAGGGTCTGTGATGATTATGGTGTTGCTTGGGTAGTCTATGGAGGAGATGGTGTAAATGCCTGTGGCTGTTGAGAGTTGGAGAGTGTTGGCATTGCATTTTATATACCTGGAAAAGTCCGGGTGGCCGCAGCCAAATGCGCTGCCAAAAGGGTATTTCACGGGGATCGTACCGCAGGTTTGGCGGCACGTGCCGTTGGTGGGGATGACATGGTCGGAGAGTGTTTGGGGGATGAGAAAGACGGAGAGAAAGAGAGCGAGAAAGGGTTGTGAGGAAGGTAGCATTGGTGATGTTGGAGTGAAAAAAATGGGGTTTAGAAAAGGAAAGGTCTTTCTCACATGAGTAACATTTGAAAGGTTGAGATTTGAAAAAGGGTGTTGGAGGTATCTTTTCGGTGGGGGTGATTATTTTCAACGTGTGTCCTTTTTCTTCCTTCCTAAAAAGTCGAGCCTATTTGTTGGGATCCAAGCTAGAAAGCACTGTAAAAACTTCCTTCAAAGGGAATTCATCTCCAAATGGTCTAATTTATTGGCGCAACAAATCATCTCCAAAGGCCGAAATACCATCTTCCTGTTACTGTTAGTATTCGATACGTATACATATATTTGTGTCATTTTGACTAAATATTCATGTATTCCTTGTTAATCAACAGATAAAAAAAGCAGCTTCTTAAAGCAATAATACTTTATTAGAAAAGGATTCAACTTTCATGGACAATATAAGCTGGCACAAGCTTCACGGACAAATGACTGTGTCTAACGTACCTGACAAATATAGGGTTAAGAAAATGGGCAAAACAAATACAATATGATTTGGAGCTCTCTGTTGATCTAAGTGTACCAAATGCTCAGGATAATATATATACCCTGTGCCGTTTCACTGTAATAGATCAATCGGGCAAGAATAAAATAATCACAACCAACTGAGGAGGGCAATGAAGTTAATTTTTTTTTTTTGATTATTTTATTGTTATTCCTCAAAGAAACATCGTAATCTTTGAAGAAAAGTTGATTTAAAGAAAAAAAATCCGGGAGGTGCCCAACTCCTGAGCAAATCAGTTCTCACCTGTAGGCTACTAACAGAAATGGAGAAATTTGCTTTTGCAGCACCATTCCAAGAAGTGAAGATTACTTCCCAAACAAAATAACTGCAATCAGTCCCTTCATAAGCTAGTTTACCGCCAATCCGCCATTTGTATGTTAAATTTTTGGGCACCAAACTGGACCTGAACATTCCTTTCACATTGAACTTAACAAGTTAACATGAAATTGTTGAAGTCTCTTTTGCTGGCGAATCATTCCTCTTTGGCCATCAAAAGACACGAGCATTCACCGAATGATGTTCTTCACAACTTGCATAGAAAATGCCAACAACTCTTCTTTGCAAAGAATTGAAATCCTTCATCTGCCCACACTTGCAAGCAACCGGCCCAACCTTAGGAATTCCCTTTATGGTCGTGTACTCTTTCCAGAACGCCTGCTAATTTATAAAAACCATAATCAAGACCAATGAAGAAATTGATGACACCATGAAGCTTAGGCATCTGTACAAACGGACCCCAGGCATGAATTTTCAACAAAATCATGTTGAACCATCATTAAGCGACCTGAGTTGAGGAGCAGGGGCTCTAAATAATGTATAGCTCGGGGCAACGCTGGTTTTCATGCAGTCAGACCAGCCCAATTCTTGAAAGCAATCAGTGCTTCCATTTTCCTGAAGTTTCTCCTTCTCAACTTTGACACTTTGAGCTTCTTATGGGTCTCCATGAAGGCATGCTTGTACCTCCACTTGTCCACAAAGATCTTCATCTCTTGAGATTTCTCAACAACTTGCATTACCGCGTCGAAGAAGCCTCCCTTAACAAGAGCATAAAGGAAGGCATCAACCAAGTTATGATCAAATTTGATCCCCTTCTCGCCATCAATTGAAACATTTCGCTTCACTTCATTCCAAAGCATCAAAACGTTAAAATACTTCTCTGCAGAAACGTATCCGCTAATAAGAGATAAATAAGTCTGCTCATTTGGTTTGAACTGCAGGAATATCATCCTTCTAAAGGTCCTCCTGGCATCTTCGAGTCTCCCAGCTTTACAAAAGGCATGAATTATCGAATTCCAATCATGGGTACCGACTTTAACTCGAGGGTCCTCAACAGCGTCATCTAAGAAAGCTGCCATCAACTCTGGCCGATTATTCTCCATTAAGCCCGTCATTATAGTTAAGTAACTTCCCTTCAAGTCAGAAACTCTTGCTTCTCTCATGTCCCTGAACAAAGTAAGAGCAGATTGAAAATCCTGACTGGACATGGACGCTTCAATCAGAGAATCATATGTCCCCACATCCAACTCAAGCCCCGAATTCCTAATATCCATGACCAACTGAGTGGCCTCAGCGGTTCGATGCTCTTTGCAGTAAGCCTTCAAAATCGGCAAATAGACACCGAGCCCCAGAAAACCTTTCTGCGCATTCATTTCATCAAGTATGCTGTGCGCTTTATCTGATAATCCAACATTAACACAGGCATTAATAATACCATACCCAACAGATCTATCCACCATATCAGCAGAAGGTTCTAACTTCTGAGCTTCAATAATCAAAGTGGCTAAAGCCTTGATCCCTCCATTTTGAAGAAATCCTTTCACAACTTCACAATAAGTTTCTTCACCTAACTCAAAGTATTCCCCCCCTCCTTCTCTCAACCCACGCAAAATAGTCGCCGAAACAGAATCTAAATTTCCCGACTTAACATACCCGCTAATCAAATTACTCCGAAACCCCACTCTAGACTTGAAGCAAAACCACACCATTAAACGTTCTACCTCAGTAATCTTCTCTTCAAGCCCCTTAAATGCATACAAATAACCAAGAAATCCAAAAGTTGATTCATCAGGCCTAACGCCTAAAACTGACATTGTCCCAACAACCTTCTCGGCGTCGCTCACCGATTGGAGCTGGTAGCAACAGCCCTCCAGCGCCGCATTACAAGCATCCAAATCAGGTTTCATGAAATCCAACTTCTCATCCGTAGCAATCCTACAATTTTCCGAAAAAACCCGTAAAAAAGCCGCGAAGCTGCCGTTTTTTCTACTGATCTCAACGATCGCATTGCCCCAAACGCTAAACGGCACGAAATACCTGTTCTTGAACATGCATTTGACCAAGGCAAAAGCAGGGGCGGCAGTGTTGGCGCGCTTGAAGGAGTTCAAGAGCGCCTCAATGGTTTCGAATTCCAACAATTCCGGGTTTTTCTCGACTACGTACACCACAGAGGCGAAAGCCCTCTTGAGATTGTGGACGTCGTCGAGCGACGACAAGTGGGCAATGAGGGAATTGGTGAGGGACTTACTTGGGAAAGCGGAGCCGCTCGTGAGGGTCTTGAAGGACTTCCAGGCCTCGTCGGTGTCGCTCGTCAGGAGAGATTTCTGGAGGTTTGTTTCCAGAGAATTCACGTCGTCCAGGGTTAGGGTTTTGGGGGGTTCAGTGGGGAGATTGGCGGCGGCGTGTTGAGACGACGGCGGCGGGTGTGATTCCCTCCTTAGGGCGAAGACGGAGGGTTGGAGGAATGAGTAGAGGGTGGGGATTTCGTTTTTGGATGTGGAGGAAAATTTTCTGTTTGGAAGGAAAGAAAATGCTTTCCTCAACATTTTTCCGTCACGAAATTGAGCATTCAAGGCTTACCCACCGTCTTCTCCGGGAACTCGTTTGCAAAAGCCTTGCGCCTCTGCAAGTTTAGGCTGCGGGACGTTTGGTTGGAGGGTTCAAACTATAATTTGAATCATGATTCATGATTTATTATAATATTTTCTCTAAAAAAAATATATATAAATAAAAAATAATTTTAATCACATATTCTAATTTATGAACTAAACGTCTCTTATATATCATAAAATTTTTAAAGGTTTCCACCAAACTTGGTTCATCCTCACTGTACTCCCTAAGAGTGACATAAATACCTGTTAAATTTTTAATTATTTATTTTTAACTAAAATACGTGATAAATACAGATGCTGTTATATTTTTATTTTAATTATTTATTTTTAGCTAAAATATGCGTATTTTTAATGGTTATGTTTATAGGAAGAATGGGAGAAATAAAGGAGATGTAATTAAAATTAATAGCATATGTTGAGAAAAAGTTTAGTAAATAGCATATTAGTTTAAATCAGACATTATATATTAAAGGAAAGGAAATGTGCACTGTTAATACACTCATAATTTATTATTTATTATACATTAACATTTTTAAATTGTTCTTTGATTGCGAATTGTCAATTTTACCATTTTTTCCTTCTCTTTTCCCTTCTCTGCGCATGAACTTTTACGTCTTTCATTCTAAGATCGTCACATGTTGACACCCGGCTGACCGAAGAAAAAAGTGGTGGGGCCCACCACTGTGAAGCTGCCATCTTCCCCCCGCTAAGCACGTTTCTCTTGCGCGTGCTTTTCACGCGTGAATCACAAACATCGAAATTTTTGATCGGACGATTTCAAACAATTTCTGATTTATTTTTTAGATTTTTATTTTTTAATATAGTTATATACAATTTTGAATTGATTTGGAGTTAAATTTTGTCTGTTTTACCACCGTTTGTGCCAAATTTTTTATATTATTTAAATAAAAATACCATGAATAATACATATAAAATTGAATAAAATTACGCAAAATTAAAATGAAATAACACCAAATTAAATAAAAAACTAAACAAAACAAAATAGAATTAATTAAAAAAACAACAAAATAAGTTAGATTATTTTCCCTCTCTCTTTGCTTAAGATTTTCCTCCTTTATTATTTTCATTTCTTTTTTGTTGTCTTTTTTACTTCTTTTTTTTATACAATATGTGTTAGCCATTATTTTAAATTAATCATGAGTATGTAGCGTGCATTTGAGACTAAAACTAAACAAAAACTTAAAAAAGAAAAACAATGAAAAAGAAATGTGTTGATTTATGGTCCGATTTTATCCATTTCAATATCATTTTATACTAAATTTTCAATGCCTCTCAAATGATAATAGTATAAATAATTTGAATAAAAAATAAAATTAAATAAAAATACACTAAAATAAAATAGAGTCGCACATTTTTAAATAAATTAAACTATAAATTACTTCAGTGATTGGAAGAGCAACACAAGCATTGATCAAAAAATAATGGTATGCATTAATAATTGATGAAGGCTTTACTGATCCATTTGTAATTCCACCAATCATTGCTCAGTTAAAAAGAAAAATAAAAATCTTGCAAGTTTATTTAAAAAAAAAAAGAAGTACAAATAACTATAGTTGTTTCAAAAATATTTGAAGATGTCTATCTTTCAATACGAAATTTGAAAAAAAAAAATCAACTACCATAACAATAGATCCAAAAACACCAAATTTAAAAAGATTAATTATAAGGTAAGACATATTTACTAATTTATATCAATTATTAATAAAAATCAACATTTACTATTTTGAATACATATCTTAACAATTTTTAATCAATTCAATTCTAAATAAAGGCAACAGACCCACAAAAAACGCCTAAAGACCATATAATATCACTACTTTTAAATTATTTAGTGGACGTTTGGTTCACAAATTCAGAACTATTCTCAGTTTACGTGTGTTTTTATAAGAGAAAATACTGTAGCAAGTCACAAACCATGATTCGAATCATAGCACGAATCTCATACTAAACACCTTATTAATCTACACTATATATAATAAAAAAATTTTAACTTCCTTAATTATTATTATATTTTTTTTTATAAAATTTGTATTTTGTAGTTAAAAAGAAAGAAAAAAAAAGTTATAATTCATTCTAAAAAACTATTAACTCTATATATATGTATATATAAATTAATCTTATATTATAAAAAATTTTAACTTTTTATATAATATAACAGTATTTCTTAGAGTAACGTGCGCTGTTGGCTAGTATTAAACTAACCAAAATACTAAAAATATCCTGTTCAAACACAAAAAACCATTCAGCTTCTACTACGGGTCCTCTCTCCTCCGTCCATCTCTCGTAAAGTGACAATGAAAATTGACGATTGTCTTTGAGGTGTGACTATGTTGTAGCTTAGATCGGCGACTTTCTTCACAATAAATTGTTGGAGAAATTTGAGTGTAGAGGTTGAAAAGAATATAAAAATATGATAGGGTTTGAGGCGTATAAGAATATTTTCTTTTAAGATTTTATTTATCCTCACTTCTTAAAATTTGTTAATGAGTTTTAATGGTAAATTACCTTCGAGATACAACAAACTATTGAACACAATATCTAATAATAATATTGAGTTCTAAAACATGAAATAAAGTCCGTAAATTTTCTGAAAAAATAATAAAGATAGAGGAGCCATTTGATGAATGAACATCATCTTTAAACATTATAACCATTCATATAAAGGTACATTTTCAATGTAAATATATTTTTTATGGATTAATACACATATTACAATAATTATATCTATTGCTAAATGGTGTTCATATATGTATGAAAATATATCACTAATGGATGTAATAGTTCGAAACGTTTTAGATCACATAAACTCATGAAAACATTATTTTCTGCATAATTTCTGTTGCAGCGGATGTTTTCCCACTGTAGCCGCAAACAAACTCGAGACATGTAAATATTTCGGCTGCAGCTAAAATATTTCGACTGCAGTCAAAATATTTCAGCTGCAGCCGATTTGGCCGAATCAAAACAGTTTTTTCCGTTGCAGCGTTTTAAAGTCATTTTAACATGAATTTTTATGTTTTAATACTCAAATAACTTGTAATCTTAATCAAGACATATTATAATATTTCTAACACAAAGCTCGTCTAGTATCTCGGATGGTCTGCCGATTCGATTAGAGCACCCAAGGCAAAGAATGCAGAAAACTCAAACCCACACTGTGATCGGCGGTGGTGTCAGAAGCCAGTCTTTGGCGATTGATGTGGCTGCTCGATCGGCGAGCAATCAATCTCGTCATATGGAAGAGCAAGTGCTTGAACGACGAAGAGAGAGAAGACTCGAGGAGCGAGAGAGTAGAGAGAGACGAAGACATAACTGGAAAAAAAAAAAAGAAGAGAGAGACGAAGACATAATGTTACGAAGAGGAAAACAGAAAGAAGAAAAAAACATCAATATAAACAAGGGTAAAATGGAAAAAGAGAAATTAGATCTCTGGGAAAATGTTATTTATTAACTGCCTAAAGTAAAAATGATATTTACTGCTAAAGGTTTGTAAAATCTGCTGTTTGTTACAAATTCTCAAAATGGGAAAAGAAGAACACAAAAGAAAAAAAAGTAGGGACCAAAAGATAAAAAAAAAGATAAAGAAGGACTAAAAAGAAAAAAAAAGACCAAAACAACAGTGTTTTGGTTTTAAAAAAATCAATCAAAACGACAACGATTTATTCAATTGAAAAGGAGAGAGTGCATTGCGCCTTCGGGTTTCTTTTTAATAAATAAATAATTAATTGATTTTTGATTTACCAATGTATGTCAAAGTTATCAACTTTCTGTAACATTTGAACTTTTAAAAAGTAAAAATATATTTTTAAATTATAAATTAAAAATCTACCAATTTAATTTAATAAATAAATTATTCGGTAAATATTGAATTTACCTATTGAAATCGGTGGATACGAGATTAGGAAAGAAGCTCCAAATATAGACAAGATGATAATTAATGGCCATTTAGTTAACGTGTTTAAGTTAATTATTTTAATTTTAAATTCAAATTTTGTGAGTATTGACGTGAATTTTTTAAATTTAAATTTTATTTGTGAGAGAATAAAATTAAAATTATAAATTCAAGTCTTAAAATCAAACGAGCTCTAGAATATCTAGAGTAAAACTTGTATTTGCAAGCCAATAGTGACTTCAGTAGATAAATTATTTATCTGTCAACATCGAATTTTCCAAATAGAATAAAAGTTTATTTAATAAAATATATTGATTGCTATTCTTACAAATTTTTTGATATTTTCACCATTGTTCTCCTATTTTCTCAAAATTTTGTAGAAAATACAATACAATTTCACCGAAACTTTTGCCCCTTTTTTTTTTTTTTTGAAGTTTTGCCAGAATTTGTCTCATACCTAAATGATATTTAAAGACCTTAGAAATTTTGAAAATTCTGTGAATATTTTAGAAATAATGGAGATATTTTTGTCTGTGATTCCAGTTACCAAACTAAGGGGTATTATTGGTTTTTCCTTTTTTTTTTGGAAGTGATTACTGGTTTTGATCAAAGAAGTATCAACGCAAAATAATAAAACTTAAAGGGTGTAAGTACAATTTCACCAACTTCAACTGCTAACGTGGCTTTGTGGATCGAAGCTCGTTATGATTTTGTTGTCAACTTGGATTGACTTGCCTTTAAATCCGGGCTAAAACTGGAATATTTTTTCACAAGATTCTCTTGTTCTGCTTGCAAGTTTCAACTTTCAACCCTTGTATACTTGTATAATTTACAAAAATAAACAAACAAATAAAATAAAATAAATCCAAAAAACGTTACAAACGGACCACAATATAATAAAACAATAAAACACAATTATCAGCTCCAAAGGCTCAACTTTACCATCTTTTTCACAGGTTTGTTAAATCTTTTATGCTTTTTTGTCATCAAGCTTAAATCTTTTTAACTAATTCTTTTCTGGGTCGATCTTCTTATTTCAATCTCAGATAATGGGCAAGATTCAAAAATTGAAAATGAACTTGTTGGCAATCTTATTGGCTATAGTACTTTTTCTCCTTCAAGAGGTGAATTGCCATGGAGATCATCAACCTCTCTCGAGAATTGCCATCCACAAGACTGTATTTGCACTTCATGAAAACGCTCGAGTAAAAGCTTCACCAACTGTTCTTGGTCTAAAGGTAAAAAGGGAAAAAAAAATCATGTAAAACCATTCCTAATTGACTGAGAAAATCGTTTCTTTCATTAAGATTTTTGCTTTCAGGGGCAAAATACAGAATGGGTGACGGTCAAATTCAATTCTCCGAACCCGTCGGTTGATGATTGGATTGCAGTGTTTTCTCCAGCCAAATTCAAGTAAAGAAATTATGTTTTGCTTTTTGTTTACTTCATTTTTTTTTTTTTTTTTGCTTGCTTCATTGATTATGATATCCCTTTGTGTTTTAAACGACATAGTTTTGATTCTAAGAACTTCCCGGTTTCAAATTTGCAGTGCCTCTAGCTGCCCTGCAGAATATTCATCTGTGCATACACCATTATTGTGTTCTGCACCTATTAAGGTTGTAAATTATACACACATATATACATATATATCATATGTATATGCTTATACATATGTGTATCATCTTATAAATACAAATATATCATATGTATGCACTTACACATATGTGTATCGTCTCTTTTTATTATGCATTTTTGTTAAGATGGATTTAGAGTTATTACAAAACTGCATATTGAATCTTTCTTACATATTTTTGCAGTACCAATATGCAAATTACACTAGTCCTGACTACAAACATACTGGAAAAGGCTTGCTGAATCTGCAGTTGATTAATCAAAGATCCGATTTCTCTTTTGCACTTTTCTCTGGTGGCTTATCAAATGTATGCTACTTGCTTGTTTTATTGTGCTATTTTTGTTCTTAAGGATTATTTACCTTCGAAGTTCATCATTTTAGTACAGCCTTGGTTTTTGCTTTCTGGAACTAATTTATTTGTTTTCTGTAAAATAGCCAAAGCTTGTGGCGGTGTCAAATACTGTGGTTTTTGCAAATCCAAAACCTCCAGTTTATCCACGCTTAGCACAAGGCAAAATTTGGAACGAGGTGCGTTTTCACTTGCTTCATGAATGTTCTTTGCTAAGCTTGTTCATCATAAATGGCATCAATTTGGAGCTCTACTTCTATGTCTCTTTTGATTAATTGAAGTGCTATGCAATTTTTCAATTTGACTGCAAGCTCTTGCCTTATATTTACATTCAGTTTTGCTCTATTATGGGGTTTTATTTTGTCTATTTCTAATTCTTTATAGAAGTTAGGATTTTTGAAGGAGATAATGTTTATTTTCTTCATATGTAGATGACGGTGACATGGACAAGCGGATATGGGATCGATGAAGCAGAGCCGTTTGTCGAATGGGGTCAAAAAGGAGGAGACAAAGTGAGATCTCCTGCTGGGACAATGACTTTTGACCGGAACAGCTTGTGTGGTGTGTAACTTTTCTTCTGCTAAATACTTCTTGAGTTAGCCCGAAAAGGAGGAGAGCAAAGTCATGATGTTACAGAGATGGATTGTATAAGCTATGAGGCTTTCAAAGTTCTTATAATAAATGTTAATAATTCACTTTCTGTTTGATATTCTTCTTCATGTGGTCAACATTTCTCAGAAAACTTTCTTATGTTATTATTGAGTTGTGCTAACTCTTCATATGTTTGTGTGTATATAATATATATATTCACAGGTGCACCAGCAAGCACGCTCGGATGGCGAGACCCTGGATTCATACACACATCTTTTCTGAAGGAACTGTGGCCTAACACAAAGTAAGTTATATTTCCATTCCTAGCATTTTTTTTTTCTCTCTGAGGCATTCTAAGTTTTAAATTCTCTGCAATTTACTCTCAAAGTTGAACTTTAACAGGAGAATGAGAATTTTGTTAAAGGCTTTTAAATCTAATTGTAAATTTTTTTATGTTTTGTTTTTTTGGGAAGGGACAGTAAAATATTAGCTAAAAGTGGAAGTTGACATTCATTATGCTTTTCATGATTTCATAGGTACGTGTACAAGCTGGGGCATAAATTGTCCGACGGTTCATACATTTGGAGCCAAGAGTACCATTTCAGATCATCTCCTTATCCTGGTCAAAATTCTCTTCAACGTATTGTCGTATTTGGTGACATGGGAAAGGTTTGGACTCTGGGATACACCCCATTTTCTCCTTCTGCTTGTGCTTAAAGGAATATCATTTATTTATCGATGCCTGCAGCTGGGAAGGCTCACTTGTAGTTAATGTTAACTTGATCATGTCTTCATAAACACAAACTTATGACATTTTTTTATTTTTTTTATTTTTTTCAAATTATGAGACTATTACAATTGGAAACTCTCACTTGTTTGTAAAGCTATCTGTGCACACAACTTGTTGAAGTTACGAGGGTTAGTGGTCTGTTTCTTCTCACTTGGCATTGGTTACAAAAGTCCAGAATCATTGTCTATTCCCATGTTCCTGTTTTATTATCTTCTTGTTCTTATTTTCGTTATCTAATAGTTATTCAATCCAACCAAATAGATGCATGTTCTCATTTTACATATATATATATATATATATTTCTGCTTGCAGGATGAAGCGGATGGATCCAATGAATATAACAATTTCCAGCACGGTGCTCTCAACACAACTGCGCAACTCATTCAAGACTTGAAGAACATTGATATTGTCTTCCACATTGGAGACTTGGCTTATGCAAATGGGTACCTTTCACAGTGGGACCAATTCACTGCACAGGTAGAGCCAATAGCATCAACTGTGCCCTACATGGTTGCAAGGTTTGTCACTACATGGTTGCAAGCATTGAATTTTTTTTTATTTTTTTATTTTTTTTATCTTATATATGTCTAATTTCTTATTTTCTGATTTTCCCTTTTAGTGGTAACCATGAGCGTGACTGGCCCAACTCAGGGTCCTTCTACAGAACCCTGGATTCCGGTGGAGAATGTGGTGTCTTGGCTCAAACTATGTTTTATTTTCCTGCTGAAAGTTCTGGTATAAAACAATGCGAACACAATTGTTTTAGATTTTTATTTTTATTTGTTGTGTTCTATGATCGGTACGTGCTTCCAACACCTAATTTCCTAAATGCCGTTGGCCTGTCATACTTAATAAGATCCTCATCACCCTAAAACAATGCTCGGACCACTTACTGTTAAAATTTTCTGAAAAGAAAAATTTATGTCTAAAGTTGATGCAATTACTCAGTTTACGACGTGCAAGAAACTAGCATTGAACATTTTTCTTTTTCTAGGTACTCCACGGACTATGGCATGTTCCATTTCTGCATAGCTGATACAGAACATGACTGGAGGGAGGGAACGGAGCAATACAAGTTTATTGAACACTGCTTAGCATCGGTTGATAGACAGAAGCAACCGTGGCTGATCTTTCTTGCGCATCGAGTTCTGGGCTATTCTTCTGGTAGCTTTTACGTGGATGAGGGATCGTTTGCGGAGCCAATGGGGAGGGAAAGTCTTCAGAAACTCTGGCAGAAGTATAAAGTAGATATTGCCATCTATGGCCATGTGCACAACTACGAAAGAACATGTCCAGTATACGAGGTAACATAACAACCTCTTGGCATATTTTAATCTGGTATGACATGCTTAGTGTCTTTTAAGCTTTTTTTTTTTTAAATTTTTTTTTCACGTGGACGAGTCAGTTTTCCATTAATTAGATCATCTCTAATGTAAATGCTAATACTAATGCTAATGCTATATTTGGCATGAAAAAATGTGAAAATAGCATATTTGATATGTTAATTTTATTGTGCTCCGATACATAATGTTATTTCAAATGGTAATACTACTTTTTGCTTTACTCATCATATTTTGAAAGTTATGAAAGTAAACTATTAATTTTAAATCAAGGGCTTATTACACTGACACCTCCTGTGTTTTGCCAAAATGACAAAGATACCCCCTTGACCAAAACTAATTACGTCAACAACCCTTGACTTTTTATGAAAATTACACAAACACCCCCTCCGTTAGTTGACCGTGAGTTGACCGTCAATTTTAACCGTTGAATTTTTTAAAAATGCCCCTCTATTTACCAGAAAATGTTTTTAAGTTATACATAATATTAGAAAAGACACGTTTATACCATTATTTAGCGTCAAAAAATGAGTTTAGTTAATTTTTACACATTTATAACTATAATTTTCACTCTAATAAAAACAAAGATTTTTATTTTATTTTATTTTTTCTAAAAATCCTTTGTTTTAATAATGTTCTCTATCTACTAAACTAGCGTATTAAATTAAAAACCATTTAATGTTTAGTAAATTATTAGGACCAACTATATTATAATAAAAATTAATTTAATTGAAAGAATAAATTAAATTGGACAATTTTATCCTAATAATGAAACACAAATGGTTTAAATTAAACTTAAAACATTAATGACAAAAAAATATAATATAAAAAAATTAAACGCATTAACTTCTTTTAACATATTTTTACAGTTAACTTCTTAAAAAATATTACAACACATCCTAACACAAATTTTTTATTAAAAAATAAAATAAAAAAGAAAGAAAGCAACTTTAACACAGGGATAGTTTTGACATTTCTCACTAAAATTTAATAGAGTTTTAGTTAGGGAGTGTTGCTGTTATACTATAATTTTAATAAAACACAAGGGGTGTCACTGTAATAAGCCCTTAAATTAATTTGAAAATGCCAATAATATAATGATTAGATTAAAAAGTCAATCCATCAAGCAAATCAAATGTCAAAATCTGGCATATGCAATACTTGGTGCCGAATTTGGCAGTAACACCAAGGTTAGCATTGTATTGGAAAGTGATTTTCTTGCAAAATGCTATAATTTAGCAACGTCACGCTAATTTAGCTTTGCATTAGAGATGCTCTTACCATGCATCATCTCATTCGTAAGATTTCTCATTATCCCCAACTAGAGAAAAAAGTCCCACTCATTTTCTTGTTACAGAATATCTGCACTAGTGATGAGAAGCATAGCTATAAGGGAAGCTTGAATGGCACAATACATGTGGTTGCGGGTGGTGGAGGAGCAGGTCTTGCTGAATTCGGTTCCGTGAAAACGAAATGGAGTCTGGTAAAGGACTATGATTATGGATTCGTCAAACTTACGGCATTCGACCATTCGAATCTCTTGTTCGAGTACAAGAAGAGCCGCGACGGAAAGGTTTACGACTCTTTCAGAATATCTCGAGATTACAGGGACATCTTGGCCTGCACCATTGATAGTTGTTCAAGCACAACTCTAGCTTCATAATTTGTAAATGAAATTGCATAGTCTTGTTAAGCACGTTGGTTATTGAATAAAAGACATGGATTAAATTAATGGTTTTTGTTCCTCGTATGTAATTTAAACGGAAGCAACTTGTTGAATAGTAACACGTCCTTTCTCTTTTTAAGCGACAGCACAATAAACATACATGTCCTACTTCTATTGTTCTTTTTCCATTTCGCTGCAGATTATCCCATCTGTTTGACGTGTAAGACAAAATGACTCGTCAAAGAAAGTAGAAAAAATTTCATCTTTGTAATACCAACGATATGGCGACATAAAATTTTAAGCAAGAGGACGACATGTCGTTTTTTAAGAAATGTGTAGGAGAAATGCATGTGCTTTGGGTAAAACGACAACGAGCTTCAAACCATAAACATCATATTGTTCCCATAAACGACATCAAACTTATAGAAGCAAAATGGCGCTTATTTTTGGCATAATTTTCTCAAAGAAGAAGAAGAAGAAGAAGAATCATAATAATAAGAGTAACTATTTCTAACTAGTCTACTGATTTATCCTTTTACAGTGCATCCTCTTGCTCCAAAAAAATCCACGAGTTTTGGCCCCAGTTTTGTGTTCTGCACCTATTAAGGTTCGTTCGCCACTCATTTTCCACAATCTTCTATGCATTGATTCTTCAAAATTCTGTTCCTTGAAAGCCAAAAATTCCTAAAGAGGTGACAATTGACAAATCAATGAGCTACTTAACGTTTCTTCTTCAGTATCAGTATGCAAATTATTCTAGTCCCGAGTACAAGGACACTGGAAAAGGGTTCTTGAAGTTTCAGCTGATCAACCAGAGATCAGACTTCTCCTTTGCTCTATTTTCTGGTGGCTTATCAAATGTACGCGTTAAAACTCTCTTGCCTTATTATTTCGATAATCCTGTGATAACTTGTCTGTGCTATGTACCAAATAGTGAAGCCTTCCTCAATTTCTGTCATGCACTGGCTTGTGTTTCTCTTTTACACTCTAGAACATGTAATATTTCCCTTAATGACGTTTAACTAACCTTGCTTTATTCATTTGTTTTCGTTATGTAATAGCCAAAAGTGGTGGCTGTGTCAAACCATGTTGCTTTCTACAACCCAAATGCACCAGTTTACCCACGAATAGCACAAGGGAAATCATGGGATGAAGTGAGCAAATTTTCTCTTTTGTTGCAATATTTGAAAGCAAATTCAGAAAAAGAATTTGTCTAGTCATTTTTTTTACTCAAGAAAATTCTGTACCGGACTACATCTATGTGAGTTTCTTTAACAAAAGCTCCTAGTTTGTGCATGAGTTTGGATTTACCTTGTCTTCCTCTATATTCTTACAGCAATATTTACTTATCCTTATAAAACTTCATAATATCTGTAGTTTTGTGTGTGTTCAGATGACTGTGACATGGACAAGTGGATATGGAACACATGAAGCAGAACCTTTTATTGAATGGGGTCCAAAAGGAGGAGACTCTATGCGCTCCCCAGCTGGGACTTTGACTTTTGATCGTAATAGCATGTGTGGTGTGTAATTCTCTTGCAATTGTTTCCTTAGAAACTGTATAAATGATCCTTAATTAATTCTAATAGTTGGTATAATCACTATATATACACACAGGTGCACCTGCAAGAACCGTCGGATGGCGTGATCCGGGATTCATACACACTAGTTTTCTGAAGGAGTTGTGGCCAAATAGAGTGTATTAAGTTACCTTGATCTTAAATCTGATGTTTAATTAAAGATCAGTTTTTTTCCTCTTAAATCTATAAATGATCCTCCTTTTAGATGCCATTTCTTTTGGTAAATGAATTATGGAAATGAGTGAATGACCAGATGACCACAAAAATCTAGAGTTTGATATGTAGCTTAGTTTCATGCAGGTACACGTACAAGCTGGGGCATAAACTGTTCAATGGAACATATATTTGGAGTCAGAAATATCAGTTTAGAGCATCTCCATATCCTGGTCAAAATTCTTTGCAACAAGTAGTCATTTTTGGTGACATGGGAAAGGTTCAAATCTTATTCGGAAATGAATGTTTTTTAACTTATACAAACTAAACTTGCTTTCTTTTGTCAATTTGGAACCTTGTTTCTCATAAAAACACTATTCTACTTGCTCAACACCTCTTTTACGAGAAGACAATATTATTCCACTTTAAGTTTACGATATAAGTACTGATCTTTAGTCAGCAAAGATTTCTTCCCAATTATGGAAGCTCTGTGAAGAACAAGATTGCATTATTTTTTGTGTTCTTTTTGCAGGATGAAGCTGATGGTTCCAATGAATATAACAATTTCCAACGTGGCTCTCTCAACACCACTAGACAACTTATCCATGACTTGGAAAACATTGATATTGTCTTCCACATTGGAGATATATGTTACGCAAATGGTTACCTTTCGCAATGGGATCAATTTACAGCGCAGATTGAGCCAATTGCGTCCACTGTACCGTACATGATCGCAAGGTTTGTGATCTTTACAATGTAACTTGTTTAAGCATGTGAGCATCTTCACCTTATGTTGCAAATTGTTGTTTCTCCTTCGGTCCTTCCAGTGGAAACCATGAACGTGACTGGCCAGGAACAAGTTCATTCTATGAAAACATGGATTCTGGGGGAGAATGTGGCGTTTTGGCGGAGACCATGTTCTATGTCCCTACTCAAAATAGAGACAAGTTTTGGTATTGAGATATTTTGATACATGGAGATTATCTTTGTCTAATAACAACATTTTCAGTTTTATGCAAATGTACGAGGAAACAATTTTGAAAATCGAATTTCTTTGCGAGGTACTCCACTGACTATGGCATGTTTCGGTTCTGCATAGCTGACACCGAGCATGACTGGAGAGAGGGAACAGAACAATACAAGTTCATTGAGCACTGCTTAGCATCAGTTGATAGGCAAAAACAGCCGTGGCTTATCTTCCTTGCACATCGGGTTCTCGGATACTCTTCTTGTATCTGTTATGCAGAAGAAGGATCTTTTGCAGAACCAATGGGAAGGGAGAGCCTTCAAAAACTATGGCAGAATTACAAGGTTGATATTGCCCTCTATGGCCATGTGCATAACTACGAGAGGACTTGTCCTGTCTACCAGGTATACCCCACAAGACTTCATGCTGTGATAAAATTATGCCTTGTTCATGTTGATTTGTTTGAAGTTACAGTATTTTCATTGCGAAATTCGCGCCTTAATAACTCAACCAAATCCAATGTTGGAGACAACCGCATAATCCAGGTTGGTTGGAAATCTAGTATCCTCTAACCCAAAGTGCAAGGGGTCAATTCTCACCTCAATAGTCCAATTGCCTTCGGTTATTTTTATCTTTGATGCAGTTCCCACTTTACTAACAAGAAATGAAAGCACTAGAATTCGAACCCTGGACACACGCACACACTCATGCACCCAACCACTTGAGCTACAGCCCGAGGTTATAACTTATAACTTTTATGGGTACATCAAAGTCTACCCATACAACCTTTTTCATTCTGGAGAGAAAAAGGAATTCCAATGCTCGAGCATTTTCACATTTTCTTTTTGTTGACAAGTGAAGAGCACACTGATCCTTGCACAAATGACTTTGGTTTCATGAGATCAACATTTTTTTTTTTTTGTAATCAACTCTTAATTTTAGTTTCCAAGCTTGTGAACATCATGCTTATATGAAATATCCGTAGTCCCTGAGATGGAACATGAATGGCTTAACTAAAGTGATTGTTATCGTTATTCTCTCCTTGCAATAGAACATATGCACCAACAAAGAGAAGCACTATTACAAGGGCTCCTTAAACGGGACAATTCACGTGGTTGCCGGTGGTGGAGGAGCAAGTCTATCAGCATTTACCACATTCCAAACAATGTGGAGTCTTTTCAAAGATCGCGACTATGGATTCGTCAAACTTACGGCGTTCGACCATTCAAATCTGTTGTTCGAGTACAAGAAGAGCAAGGATGGAAAGGTTTATGACTCTTTTAGAATATCTCGAGATTATAGGGACTTCTTAGCCTGCACTGTTGGTAATTGTCCAAGTACCACGTTAGCTTCTTGATTTGTAAATAAAAGTACACGTCCTGCAAATTTGGAGTAGCATTTGAATATGTAATATTATGTAGGGGTTAATTTTAATAATAGCACTTATGAATAAATTATTATTAATTTTAGCACCACTTTTGTATTCTTTCATAACTAGTATTGCCATGTTAGCAGTGTGAGGTAAAATGACTTCTATGTCACTTAAGTCAAAATTATCATTTAAAACTTAAAAGCACCTTAAAGAAACTCTCAACTCTCTCCCGCTCATTCTCTCTCTCTACACCCCATTTTCAGCTCTCTCTCTCTCTTTCTCTCAAGTTTGGCATCTCTCTCTACTTGGTCTCTCTCTTCCCTACGCCCTCATTCCCTCGTCACCAATACTCCGATTGTGCACCAGATCGAGGTTAGTACACAATTTTTTTTGTTGTTCTTTTGTTTTTGTCTTTTTAAATTTATTTTTCGGGAGACTTAGTATATAGAACTTGAAAAAAATGACTGGGTTAAACTTAATGTGATAGGAATTGAAAATATCCTTCGTCAATTTGAGATTTTGGATGATTTATAACTAATTATAACGACCAACACGTTAAAAACATAGTTGACCTTGGGAGTCATAGTATTATGACTCATAGTGTTATATGTCCGATCATAATACTATGACCAGTCAGTCATAACAATACGAGTCATTGTCTATGAGTCAAATTATAACAATATGAGTCAAAATAGCCGGTCATAGTATTATGACCATAAGGCAGTCATAGTGATATGACCGTCCGGTTATAATATTATGACTGAAATAACCCATCGTGTTATGACTGACACACTATGACTGCTTTATGACCGGCCATTACATAGTATTATGACTGGTCATTTCTAATGACTCGATGACGATTAGGAGTAATTGCATGTAGATTAACAGTTATTGTTTTTGAAATTATTTAGGAATGGATGCTGAATTGAATGTATTCATCAAGTACAATGGATATTAGGACCGTGCTTCGAGATATGTCGGTTGTGAAATAAAGGGGATATTGGTCTCCACCAACACAACTTATATTGGTCTTATAGATTTGGTGAGAAATGTGCTTGGTATTCGGCCACAAGGAAAAAGTTTATCCTTAAGATATGTTGTTGAAGACGGAAAAGCTCCTGTGAATATATCGTCTGACTATGATGTCACATTCTATCAACGACATCTCTTCCTCCAAAGCCTTTTTTTTTTCTAAGATGACAAAAAATGGTAAAAAAAAAAAAAAAACAAGAAAACCAAACAAAGTTGTTAACTAAAGTACTATGACATGCACACTAGTGCTGGAACTTCGGGTCGGCGGGCCGCCCGGAGCCCGAATTTTTTCGGGCTCGGGCGGGCCGGCCCAATTCCCGCCCGTCCAAGCAAGAAATTCAGGTTCGGGCTCGGGCAGCCCGGATTTGACATGTCCCCCCTTGCCCGCCGCTGTCTAACCACCGTATACCGCCGTCCGCCGGGATTTTTTTGCATTTTTCCGACCAAGCCCGAACTGCCCGACCCGAAAATTGCCCG